AAAAGACGCCGTGTCTCGGGCGTCTCTATAGAGACTATTTGATGATTTTATTCGTTATCTCATCAATCGTCTACTATATGGAAGTTGTTGTGGTTCTCGGTAGAATGGCGCTTTAGTATAGATACCACCCGGAAGGGACTTACCCATCATTCAACTCCCAGCCACGTCCAATCATGAGGCAAAGCTTTTTCGTCCCCATTAGCCCTTTCTCAAGTCTTCAGTGCCCGAGTTGTTAATTTTGTTAATTTATGTCGAGGTATGGCAGCTGATGTATGCCTGTCACATACTGGTTGTGGTTGTTGTTCCTTTTTTTTTTAGAAGACGTTCTCCATAAGAATGGAGGTCGTTCTCATTCAGCGCCATGAAAAATAATTTCACCGGAGGATGGCCATACGGAAATTGGATATTGCGACATATAATCAATAATAGGGCGTATTTTGTATGTGTTATATCTACATCCACAGCATACACATATGATCATCCACCGAGGTTCGGCCATGACCATTCTAAACACCGACCTGTTGCCGGGGGCCGAGTCTGTCTGGCTGCGCAGATGGTTGGTCAGAATGTTAGTACACTTTGTTAGTGCAAGAGAAATGAAAAGTTGGCCTCTCTTCACTTGTTGCAGGTCTGGAGTTCTATCCCTGCCAAAGCAAAATCCTGAGCACCCCGGGTGGATGGGACTCGTTAGCCTTGGAAGGCAACTCATCTAAGAGAAGGATAACTGATGTTAGAAATTAACACCTGCTCCTGAACAACAACAAAAAACGATTCAGTAAGGATCAATGCGAGTAGCTGCAAGGAGATAAAGCTAATGGCAATTCCACATCGAATCTTGCTCCTATTTTAAGTGCAGAATGGTTAGATTAGGATTAGGGCGTCAAGATGAAAAAGGTAAATCAGCTACTATAGACTATGCCCAATAGAGCACCAAGAAAAACACCAGTGGCCGAGACAACTCTCCTCATGACTTGCTGATCATTTAACAGTGGCTCGTTTTCTGAGTTTCCGATATAAAGGGACGCGGGTACTTTTTACTGCATATTCCGTTGATCATGCAGGTTGAGTTGACATTATGAGGTCCGCATGGACCGTGAATCATCGTTGATTTTACCACTTCGTGGAGGGTAAGGTCAGTCTGTGGATCAGGAATTTCCACACGGATGACGTGATCGATGGCACCTGGGTTAATCCTATGCTTTAGCCACAGGAGGATGTGTGCATGGGAAAGACCTCGCTTTTGCCACTCTATGCAGTGTACATATGTAGCAAGCTGTACAGCCGAAAATGTTACTCTTGGTGAGCAAGTCTATCATTTTACGAATTTTCAGATAAAATACACGGCTGATGAGGTTGTGGCGATCGTGAAGTTTCTGATGCGGAAGGAGCACTTCAGCGATGTCAGTCCATTTAGGATTGCAAGTCAGTGTGATGAATAAGTCAGCGCACCGCATTTGTGCTTCCATTTCATCGTCCCCGACGAAATAAATTTGTAAAAATGTGTTCCTCAGTCGTCATCGGTAGAAGACTACCCATAAATTGCACGTGCTCAAGAGCATGCATTGTTGTTTGCGAAGTGCCCCTAAGTTATTGACAGGCACTCTGAGAGAAATAAATTTCTAATGAATGGTCATCTTTTGATTAGCACTATTATTTTTTTAATCCGAGGGTATAGCTACGTCGAATAGCCGAGAACGCTAAAACAAATGATCATCATATTTCCTTCTACCAAATAGTTTGCTCTACTTTTTAAAAGCCTTTACATTCACTTCGCTTTTATTATAATGATGAAAAGCATAGGATGACACATTGGGTCATAGAGATTACTCAAGACGGATATATATATATATATTTTTTAAATTCCACTTTTTGGATGAATTGTAACATCACAAATTTCAGGGAATACACCAACTGCACTGTGGAAAACGGCAGCAATGTCTCCGATGGCAGTTGGAGCATTGGTTCTGCCGAGGTACACATTATTTACTATCTCTCTCACGAATGTCATGCTATATTCAATCGGCGTTCGGTTGTCCTGATTTGCCTTTTGGGATGTCTTCAGTGGACCAACAAAGTTTCGACACCCTCCATCTTGACTGTACTGATGGTCACTGCAAGAATTTGATTATTTTATTTGTTGAGCGTCATTTAGTCAACTAAATGTTCTTGAGGAAGCCGGGGCTATGAAAATGTTGTATAGCTCAGCTCCGCAATATACTAAGCCGGGATCATAAGAGATCAATCTCAGACCCTCACCAGAATATGTGTGTTAGTTAGTCAACAGATCATGCCCTTTTTATTCATAAAAATTATACAATGCTAAATAAATAAGGACCAGGATATATTTATTAAATGTATCATATATCTTATAATGAATAATATTTCCTTTGATAAACTCTATTATTAATTGTTCTTGCATGGAAAGTTAACTTTTTTCATAATTTCTTAAAAAATAATTTAAGTTATGAGATTGAATGTTAATTAATAATCAAAAATATATATCTTTAAACTTTTGTGTGTTCCGGAAGATAAGGGTAAAATATACCAATTGTAAAGGTCTGACCCCTTTTATGTTCCGCTTTACTAAAAAAAACAACAAACAAAGTATGTAAAATATCGCGGACGTTTCAAGAACATTTCCAGGTGAAGCTCAACAGTCTTGACGTTTCTTCAGTACACGCTAACATACGAAGACGTTAGTTCTTATAGTATTTTATAGTGTTGACAATTAAAACATACTTCAAACTTTATTATATTAACCACGACATACTTCACGCATAATATTACGGTAAAATGTAGATCTCAGCTTTATTTGGCTGACTTTTCTGGTCCATGGTGTGATATCTGTGGCCAAAGTCGGTTTCTTACTACCGTCAGGTGAACGCTGAAGAGTGTTTGTGTAGAAACTGCGGCAACTAGCTGTTTCCGTATCTCATCCCCACTTTTAATGCCGTTGAACTTCTGCACGAGAGACACGCTTCTCTTTGCCTTGCCACTAGCCAACCTTGATGCTTGAACAATCTCCCAAAGTTGGCTTGTTATCACGTCCGAGAATCTATTTCCGAGGATCAGGTTCTAGATAGACGGTTGGGTTGCTCAAACGGGTGAACGGTTGGGTTGCTCAAACGGGTGAACGGTTGGGATGCTCAAACGGGTGAACGGTTGGGTTGCTCAAACGGGTGAACGGTTGGGTTGCTCAAACGGGTGAACGGTTGGGTTGCTCAAACGGGTGAAGGAATTTATCTTGCATGGGGGGAAACATTTTTATATTTTAATTCTTATTTCTAGTAGATTTATTACAAATAGGCTGAACACGATTTATAATTTTTAATAACAGGTATGACATATTATAAAATGTAGCTTTTAATTCATGTCTATATTATTTGCTATTCGATGAACTGACGAAGGCGCCAGTCCAAGCATCTAAATGTTTATTTTGTCTCCAATAATAATCAAATCATAGGCATTTTGTTTTTATTCAGACACACTTTGTGTGTGTCTGTCTTATTAATCAAACTTTCCACTTTTCATATACATTTCATCCTCTTCTCTGCTGTAATGATAATCAGCTTTTCTAATTCCATCCGTTTTCTATTTATAGATGAATGAAGTTTCATGAATTACGTGAGAAGAAAAAATGTCGTACAAATAAACTGAGCTGCGTATTCTTTTCACCCCCGAGAAGGTGTCTTGATTAACCCCGAAATTCAAATACACAAGATACAGGTCTACACAATGTTTAATCCAGCTTCACATTAATTAAACCGTACATGTTAACTGATCACCCGTTTGTATTGGAAAGTAATAAAATAACAGTTTCCAAATGCGTAACAATTTGAGGGAATTTAACAACGACAGAGAATAATTAAAGAGACATTTAAAGGCGGTTTTTTTTTTTTGGTTTCTTTAAACACCTAGAGTTTTACGACATAAGAGCGCTTTGAACATGTCAGAATAGCATGGACTCCAGCGCTGTGTGTGTAATCATCATTGCCAAGAATCACAGATTGGGAGTTTTCGTAATAGCGCTTCGGCTGTCTGTGTACGCCGTCAACATCATCCCTGGCAGCACGGGAAACAAACAAAACAACAACAACTCTCCATACAATCGATTCAAAGATTCTTCCTGCACTACAAAATTAATCCTATATGTAACCGTTCGATGGCTGTGTTAGTCTTATGGATAATATGATTTTTTGATGATCGTGTGTGTGTGTGTTTTTTAAAAAGAGATTAATTGTTTAAAACCCAGATCATGGGTTATAACAGCTATCCTATTTGATTTTTTTTTTTAAATGTACATGATGAATATTCCCAGCATGACAACTTGAAATGTTTTTCATTCCCATCAATCATTTCAGTAAACCTGGGATGGCAAGTATTGCACACATCTTTTGGATACCAAATGAACTTCTTCATTCTTTCTACTTGGTACTTGGTTCATTTGAAAATGAATAAATTATAATTATAATAAATATATCTGTGAGTTTGCTGTTTTGAGTGGTGTGTGGCCTTGCGGCGTTACCTATTGCACGTGAATTAAGGGGGGGGGGGAAACAAATAAAGTACCCAACAAAAATACAGTTGAACAAAACAAATAAAGTACCCAACAAAAATACAGTTGAACAAAACAAATAAAGTACCCAACAAAAATACAGTTGAACAAAACAAATAAAGTACCCAACAAAAATACAGTTGAACAAAACAAATAAAGTACCCAACAAAAATACAGTTGAACAAAACAAATAAAGTACCCAACAAAAATACAGTTGAACAAAACAAATAAAGTACCCAACAAAAATACAGTTGAACAAAACAAATAAAGTACCCAACAAAAATACAGTTGAACAAAACAAATAAAGTACCCAACAAAAATACAGTTGAACAAAACNAAAAAAAAAAAAGAACCAAAAAAAAAAAAAGTAAAAAAAAAAAAAAAAAAAACCAAAAAAAAAACAAGTTAAAAAAATTAAAACACAAAAAAAAAAAAAAAAAAAAAAAAAAACAAATAAACAATATATGAACGAATTATAACCGTATGCAGCGATAGGGCAATATTTCAAAATGAACTTTAACGAAGCAGTTAGGTTTGTCCTTTCCAAGACCGGAAAACGTCACATATCATGACGTAATGCTACTATTTTTAGACAATGTTTTCGTTAAAAAATAGCTTCTAACAATGCATATATATAGAAGAAACCTAAATTTGTTTTTGAAATCGTTCATAAAATAAAGTTGTGAACACGGTTTCGTCTAAATTAAGGCTTACACTCGTGTATCGTTACCGAACAGCTGTTGAGAGATTGGCCAAACGGAATACCAGGATGTTTTTATTAATTTTATAATAAGATTGGCCAGAGGGCGCGCCCCGGATGTTCTATTAATAGCTTTTCCTTATTAAATGATAATCCCTATTCATGTAAAACAACATCCTTCACTATTAACTGAACTAGCGACTTCCGTTTAAATTTCAAATCTATTTGAGAGTAGTCATTCTTGAGTAGTGTTTAGTATAATGGTAACATTTAGAAGTTTTTGTTACTAATCTCACTAAAACTTCCTGCAGCATGTTAGCGTGTCAGCACATCCACAGTTTCATGAAGACGAGTCTAGCCACCACTACGCATGTCAGAACCCCTGCTGTGAGTGGCTGTGATCTTGTAGACCCACTTCTGTACTCTGTTTATAAAAAAAAAAATTAAAAATTCATGTCATTGAAAATGCCCGAGGTAAAAATATTTAATGAAAGTCGTATCTATGGGAAAAAATACATCTTTATCCTTAATTAAGTCTTTTTACAAATTCGTAAGTTACTTCGGTAAAACCGATTTTTTTGTTAAATTCAAGCGTGTCACTTTTATCATAAATCTTCCAGCTAATATTTGTAAGCAAAAATCTGAGGCGGACACATTTATAAAATATTACTTTTTATACCAGATGGGTGTTACATACTTACCAGCAACAAGCTGGGATGGTGTGAATGCTGTTGAAAAAAAAAACATATATATTTTTTTAAGAAGACCATAACTTATGACATAATAGGAAAAATAATCTAGCTGTAAATACTTAGAGGATTTCTGAGATAGAAATTAGTGGTTCTTTTAAAATATATAATATTAAAAATAATAAAGTTTATTTGAAAATCACGTTTCATCCCCAAAGGCTCGAAGCGCGGTATATAGTTTAGTATATTAAAAGAGAAATGAAACAATCTATAATATACCTCATTGAAATACACAATGCAACATTGCAAAAACTATATACGAGAATACCCATTCTAAGTATTTCATACCTAACAACCATAAACAACACCGGCCAATACACATCTACAAGATAATAGCTAAATAGACAACATCACCCCAGCAGGTGTTGGCGAAATAAATATGTCTTCAAATTGAAAGACTCCAGTGTCTGGCAGATTCTGAGAGCGACAGGAAGGGTGTTCCAAATTGTTGGGCCAGCAAATTCGAAAGTGCGCCTCTCGTAAGTCTCATGGCGAACACGTGGTATTGAGAGTTTGCCACTATCAGATGAGCGGAGTTGTCTGGTGGGTACATAAGGCGTCAGCAGCGCTTTGAGATAGGACGGTGCCAGGTCATGCAAGCAGCGGTAGCACAAAGTTGCAATTGTGTACTCTATGCGAGCGCGGACCGGCAGCCATTGCAACTCTCTCGGAAGTGTTTTAGCATGGTCGAATTTGCATTTTTGAAGAACAATGCGAGCCGCATTATATGTAAAAGCTAACCAACGATTTTAACATTGAATAAGTTGTATCTAGAGGAGTCCTACCTTAGTAATACGGTGTAACGAACTTACAATATCGTTAAAAAAAAACCCCCCCCCCCCCCCACACACACACACAAACTTTTAAAAATTATAACATTTTTCTTTTTAAATCCGTAAATATATTTATATATTTAATATTTGTTTAAATCGGTCATCAATGAAATCTTCACCCGAAAATAGTGTTATTTTAAATTAAAGGCTAATTTAATTGTTTCAGTGAGTAGAATTTAAATTAAAAAAAAAAATGTTTGATTTATAACTTGCAATGCTAAGAAATATTCATTCCAGATCAAAATTAATTATTAATCAACCCAACAAGCTGTTAACAGTATAATACTATTCAACTTACGACACTCTAAGTTAAATTTGGAAATGCCGGAGTCGATGTTGGACATGACGCTGCTGGCGATGGGGCAGTTCTGATCGACTATGCACCGTATTCCGGTTTTCAAGTCACTGTTAAAAAAACACAACAAATTATTGTAAAGTGAAGCTAGCAAGAAATAGTTTATGAAAGGACCATCGCATTTATAAATTGAAAAAAACTATAGTTTAATGCTGAACTTCGCACCCGGTGCACTGCGTAAAAAACGTGTGGGTGCCGCGAGACATGGTTGGTGTGGCAGCGAGACGATGTTTGTTGTGGCAGCAAGATGTTTGGTGTAGAAGCGAGACGATGTTTGGTGTTGCAACGAGACGATGTTTGTTGTGGCAGCGAGATGATGTTTGGTGTGGCAGCGAGATGATGTTTGGTGTGGAAGCGAGACGATGTTTGGAGTGGAAACGAGACGATGTTTGGTGTGGCTGAGTAGGGTTAATTTATTTCAAAATTACTTGTTTCCTTATTTCTTATTAACAGCATGGTGCATTTTTACATATAAACCTTCCAGTGATTGTGATCCCATACATGTGTCCTTATATCACTAATCAGCACAGTGCATTTTCGTATGAACAAACCTTCCAATGAATGTGATCCTATTATGGGATGCTACATAATTCTCACAGTAAGCCAATCTCAAGGAAAATAAATAAATAACAACAAATGCCCACTTCATTAGAATTATTGCTTCAAACGTTTTCCCTCACACATTTTTAATCGTACCCAGAAACATAGAGACAATGAAGCAGATAAAAGAAAGTACATTTACCCACAAAGAAGTTCTCGTTTAAGGAGTGCGTGCGAGAGGAGATTTTTTAGCATGTCAGCAACACAACTTGCAATGTTGGTGGCGCAATCTAGATGGGGAAAAAAAGTAGTTTTAGTTATTCTGTGCTTTTCCTCTAGGTCAGAGGATATCTTCTCTTAGAACACACGGAATTTAATAAATTTTAATTTGTAGATGATTATCTCATATAAATGTAACACATACCTAGGAAATGAATGGGCGAGTCCTCAAAGGCTTTCTCCCCCCCCCCCTTTTTTTTTTACGGCACCTCATTACCGTAAATCCCTCCACAATTTTTTTTCTTCAAAACATAATTGATTAATTAGTTGTTGCTTTTTTAAATAAATTTTAATTTGTAGATGATTATCACATATAAATGTAACACATACCTATGAAATGAATGGGCTATTCCTCAAAGGCTTTCTCCCCCCCCCCCTTTTTTTTTTACGGCACCTCATTACCGTAAAACCCTCCACAATTTTTTTTCTTCAAAACATAATTGATTAATTAGTTGTTGCTTTTTTAAATTATTGAATTTTTAAAAAAATCGGCTAAATAATAATTTGGGATCGAATCTCAATCTGAATCCCTTCCATTCTCTGAATAGTGAATTGTTAAATTCAGACATAAATTTATAGCTAATCAAATATATCCTTTGTTAATTCCTGCGGAATACAGTGCTGCGAAAATTATATCATATTCATTTTTTAACAGCGTTGACTATGACTTTGTTTAACGTGTCAAACAAAGACCCATCACTGGGCTGAGAATTACGTATTAGCTGTCAGTGCTTAACGAAAAGGTGTGAACATTGGACTCTGAAAGGGCAGAACACATCATGGCACAAGTCGTTTCGAGCGTGTCACATTGTTTTGAGTACGCCCGGCAAATGTTGTGGTACGGTGCACTGTGCATTTTATTTTCAGTGGCGCAGCTGTAGAGTTAAGTGCATCCCGTGCGGGCGTTGATTTTATTTCCGCCCATTTCCACGAAAACATAATCTCCGAGTGCCGCTCACCATTAAAATGAAAGGGAAAAAAAAATGTCGCCCGATGGGAACCGCCCCCCCCCCCGCCCCCCCCCCCGGCCCCCCCCCCCCCCGACCCCCTCTCCGGACCCCATTCCGATTCCAGTGCTACTATTTCAAAGTTTGAACACAGTTAATGGAAAGTTATGGAGGAAAAAAAATATTTAAGAAACAGTTTCAATGAATTTGTATGTATATATACGGTCATTACATTTATAATGATACATTTCTATTGAAACCATAGTCAGTACTTTTGAAAAATAATCAGTGTAGCTCTATATATAGAAATCATTTACCTGCACTTGCTAGGGAAGGTAGCAGGGCAACAAGTAAACACAGGTGTAGAAGCATTGCTGAGATGTTGTCTTCTTCAATGGGCCACGTAGACAATGAGACCTTTTGAATAGGAAAAAAATAATGAATTAAGATTAAATAATAAACAGTTTTCATTAAAACTCATATGAATTATTGAAAAAATCTCAAATTGTATGTGTTTTATGGTATTAATATTTTTGACCTGTTTTAGGCGATACATTCTAAGAAATCATTCCATATTATTTAAAAAAAAACTGAAATAGACACGTTTTAAAAGAACTTTTTTCTTTCCTTTTTAAATTTTTTTTTTATTGTAGACAGAATTCGTCGAAGGTAACTCCAAACGTACCCATCAAGAAAGGTATAGATCTAAACTTAAAAAAAAAAAATTACCAGGCATAATTAGCAAAATATATAATCCTAAATAAGTGAAGATGTATTTTGCATTAATCGATAATAAACAAATGATCTACCTTAAAACACTGTTTTAAAAAAAAAATAATCTAGCTCAGTATAAAACAAATACGTTGAATCATACCGGACCCTGTAGCACGAATTTCCCCACTGAATAGGCCCTTGCAGCGTTAACACGTCTATAATATATCACAGCCGTGCTCGGGAAGTCAATTGACAGCTAACTACACATGGCCAGCAATGGAAATCAAAGGGAAGCCTTGTAGTGTGATGGTGTTATGAAAAGCTCTCATGTGGATCGGGAACTTTTAAAAAAATGCAAACATCTGCTATATGAGAATATTAAACAAAACACACATTTACTATATGAGAACATTCAACACAGCACACATTTACTATATGAAGACATTCAACAAAACATACATCTACTACATGAGAACATTTAACAAAACACACATCTACTATATGAGAACATTCAACAAAACACACATCTAGTATATGAGAACATTTAAACTTACGAAACAATCAGAAACTTTAAATAAATTACAGGGTTTGTCAACACGACTAAAAATCAAAAGCCTAGTTTGAAGGCAGTACATTTCTAACAAGGCAGTTTGACAATACATTCGTTCCATGAGAAGTGAATCCAGAGTTAAATCGAGAGATTTACACCAGGCTCGCAAGTACAGACTTTCGGACGGCCACGAGCACCACTGTTGGGGGTCAATCATGACGGTCTTTCGAGTCAATGTAAGGAATGACGGGCTGGAAAGCCTGAAATGATAACAGGGAACACAAACAATAACAATGTGGTGGGATGGTACGCTGCATTCCCAGCCCAGACCTGATGGACTTGGCCCGGCACATGTGTACGCGAAGGACACTTTATTGTGCGTGGGAAGTCTACGCGGCCTCTCAATTAGCTATGACGGTAGGTCACCGTTGTTGTGTCTCCCACAAATGATTACGAAAGCAGTATTTTCCCCCCTCTTGCTTGTTCAAGTCAGTTACATAAGCGATCTATCTTAAATAGTGGCGTAAAAAGGGGGTGCGGAGGGGGGCTCCGCCCCCTGGTAGCACGTTTTCCTTCACATTGAGTTTGTCGCATTTTCGGCCAACAGCAGGGTTTATTTTTATTCTTTGTTCGTGAGTTGGGGTTGGCAAAAAGCTTTGGTGCCCCCAGGAGGAGCCAACCCTTGCTACGCCACTGCTCTCAATTTATTTTTGATGGTAGGTCCCTGCACTAATGATTACAAACGCTTTTTTTCCTCTTCATTTCCCGGGGTAGGACGGATGGGGGGGGGGAGGTTGTGGGCCCCTGACAGAGGGCCTGCTCACTCGGGATCCACTTCATCACCAAATTTAGTCTGGTGGACAAGTGTGTACCGCTGTACAGTGGTTTCAAAACGCATAGCTTAGTCGTGACTCTTTATAAGAGGCACTTAATCTGAAGAGGGATTGTACAATGATCCAACTTGAGTAGATTAATTGCACAAACAGTTTAAAGTCAGGTAACATTTTTCATTCTTGTTTGATTGGTCAAGGTATTGAGCCGAAAGTTGTCGTGATTGCTATTGTAAAACAAAAAAAAACAAACATTTTCCCCGTTGCATTAAAGCCTGCAGTGTATTTCCACAAATTGTTGTCGCATTTCATGTAATAGTTTCATTGTGAGCATTGGAATGAAAAATAAAAATAAGAGTAAGAACTCCTGTCTGTTGGCTCATGGCTTCAGATGTTTATATTTCCTAGTTGTTACAGCACTTCATTGCACTACGTCGTGACATCACGTGGCATAGCTAGGGTTGGTGTCACCCAGTGCGTTAAATTCATGGTGTCACCCCCCCCCCCCACATCCACGATGGATCTCTTCTTGAGGCTAAAGAACTAAATGTATGTAAGAGCTATAGCAACGTGAAGTGCCGGACTAGAAATCATTGACTGCTCCATGGTGGAGCGTAAAAAAGTTCTTGAAAACCTTACTGTTGAAAAGCTCCGCTCACATGGAGCCACAGAAACACAGATCGTAAGATACAATTGAAGGCTTAGCGAGAGTATTCGAAGAGATTCTAGGAAGTGCCACTCAGCTTTTGAATTTCAAAACATCAAATTCTGAGTCATCCCTGACTTTGTGAAATTTAATATCAGCTGCCTGTAGGTGTCTCCTAAGCCTTAGTATTTCTTTTAAAAGTTAATCTTCTCGTAACTCATCATAGAAAGAAGTTCATCTTGGAACGAACATCAATAACTCTTTTTCCTATGCTGATAGTAGACTCTTGGATTGAACAGCCCAAAACATATCTGCTGCTTCATTGATCGCTGATAATCTGATCTAGGGTGTAGAATGAAATTTATCAATACACTCTAGAATCTCATTTCTTAAAACTTCTTTCTACTGAAATTCCATAATGGTCTGATGTTAAAAGTGAATTTTCTATAGCATGTTCCACCAAGTGACAGTGTTTCTCGTGCAGAAACAATCTTAAGGCCTCTATGTTGGTCAACACTTTTTCAAGAGTTAAGTCTTTAATCTGCAGATACTGCTGTGCAAGATTAAATTCCTCAAGTATAGATAAGCCCAAAAGGTAAATGTAGAAAATAAATTGAAATTGCAGACAACTTGTATTGCGCTGTATGACAATCGTCCTCAAACATTAAGGGGCAGTTCTAGTGACGAATCGACGAAAATTCTAATTTTTAAGTATTTCTGTTATATTGGTATCTATTTGGTTTCAAAACCCTTTTTTAAAAGAAATTAAAAAAAATAGATTAAGGTTAATTATTTAAGAAATACAAGAAAACTGCGCAAAATATTATTTTTTTTAAACTCTATAAATGAGAAAAAAAGTAATTTTTCAAATTTTTTTAATTGTTCAGGCGGTAGCATGCAATCCTTACCCACCCCCTTCCCTTTTGTTTTTAGTACTGACGTCACCAATAAACTTGGTGACACGTGCTTCCAATCCCCCCCCCCCCCCCCCCCCCCGGCCACCAAAACGCCTTGATTGGGAAAAGTGTGTTTACGTTTCCAGAAGTGTGTACCACGAATGAGGAATACTCTGTGGCGATTGAATTTCAAAACTTTCTGGTCTATAGGGTTCTGACTCCCTCACTATAAATACGAAGGTCGACAGTGACCGGAAGAACTTAGATTTGTCAGACTTACAGATTTTCTATGTTTCGGTAAGCTCTATATCTTTTCGTGGAATAGGTCTATCCATGACAGTGCACTATAATAACAGAGCGAATTCAGACCATACACATTTCAGGGCTGTTGGTTCCTTTCGAGATCCCACCAAGTGACCAAACTTCATCGCATTAACACTTCGGTTTCATGTTATTTAGACTATACCATTGTAATACATTTTAAAATTCTTTTTACAGATTTTCTGTATTTTATTGGTATACTTCAGTCCTTGAATACATAAAAAGACGAGGTGAAAAAAGGATACAATGAAAACCACACTTTTGACAAACAGATTGAATGGGATTTATTTGAGAATAACATCGATACAATCATTAAGTAAATTCTTGCAAAGTGAACACATTGTTATATCTTTTTTTTAAAATGAAAACAATTTCAAACTTAAATCCAATCAACATATATTTATTTATTAATGTGATATGTTGATTGGATTTAAGTTTGAAGTAAATAAATTTTCCATTGTTTTATTTCGTTTCAGAGTCCATTAGGTTCTATTCATGTTAATAACTTACGATTTAATTCATTATTATTTTACCAAATTATTTCACATAGATAAGAAATATTATCTAAAATAATTTTTGTGTTTTCTTTCAAACTGCGTGATAATTGTAAATAAAATTTTTTTTTTAGTTTAAACCGTTTCCATAAGTATTGTAGGCCTGACTGTCGTTTTCTTTGAGCCCCAGTAAGCAATATTAAAATGACACGTGTAATGCCTCAGCATAGGTGACATCAAATGGCCAAACACCATCACCAACAGAGACTTACTGGAATTGACATATCAGGGGGCCCATTGCTTTAGAAATCATCGAGAAAAGATGCTGCCCGCTCTTCGCAAACTACCAGATGACATCACCAGATATTTCCTAGCATGGAATCCCCAGGGGAAAAAAATAAAGAGAGGAGGGCATAAGAATACATGGAGATGCGAGTTAGCGTCAGACACACAAAGTATGGGATGCACCTGGAAGCAAACTGGAAAGGAAAGCAAAGTACCGAGATGAATGGGAAAACTCTTGTAGACGGCCCATGCCCCAGGCGGTTCAGTATAGTTTAGTACCATCTTTCTGTACCTGGATTATCTCTTTTTGATGTGATTAGCTAAAAAATATCTTTAAAAAAAAAAAAACGCTTTCTAGATGCATGCGAAAACTTAGTAGTGTATACAAAAATTGACAAAACGCTACACAAAAAAAAATAAAAATTATTTCTCTTCAAACAATTATATAAATTATATGTTTAATGAATAAAAACAATCCTTAATAGTGTGGAATAAAAGTTAAAATTAAAATGTTTTTCAATCGAGCAGAACTTAAGCTAGCCTTACAAACTGAAACTGCAGGCTAATGCAATGACGAATATTCACAATTATTGTAGTTTCAATAGTGCCTTTATTGAAAAAAAAAAATTCTCGCTCATTCATCATATTTTGTGTATAGAAAAATTAATTGTTAAATTGATAGTTAGGTCGGTATTTTTATTATTATTTTTTTTTTAAATTTGAGGAATAAAAAAAATGCAATCTTAATAAATTTATTTAAGTTAATGAACATTTATTTGCCGCACCACATGAAAACCTAAATTTAAATAAAAGGGTTTTTATATCCACATTGTTATGTCTAATATCTCCCTTCAGCTCATCAACCTAATGAAAGGAAGTAAAGACATAACAGAGCTCAGAGACAAACCAACTCTTAGATTTAACAAAACATAACCACCACAACACCTATGAAAAACACATTAATGATTTAACTAAGAATAAAAGGATCTCCTTTAAAAAGAAAAAGAAAGATACCCCCACCCCCTTTTATATTGTAACTTCGCTTGTTTGTGTTTAGGGCAAAAATTTTCGAACCCCTCAATGACCTACTTCCCCGTCAACATATCGGGCTACAACATTTGCTCACAGACTTGTTGGCAATGACGCACAGACTTGTTGGCAATGACGAAAAATGCTGTCAAATATTTAGCCCCATCCCCAAACCCAAAAACCCCCAAAAATCAGTTTGCACTGTTTTTTTTTTTTTCAAGAGTAAGATCAACGAAAGAAGATGACACTGATTTCGCGAAATAAAAGTACCGACAGTTGCGCTAAATGAGATTCT